CCCCACACCCCCCCCAGCGCCCTGCTGGGCTGGCTGGGGCTGCCGGCGGCTGGCACCCACCCGGCGGTGGCGGTGGTTGTGTCACCAGATTGTCTTTACTGAGTTAAATTAACGAATATTTATTGTGTTAAGTAAGTGAAAGGCCCCCCTGGGGGTTTTTCCCCTTCTCCTCCTCGAGCATTACCCCCCCACGCACGGGCTGGGGTCCCCGCCGTCTCCCCCAGCCGATGAAGCAGACGGAGCCCTCCCAGGCCTTTCCCCGTGGCTGTCCTGTCTGTGGGGTGAAGCTCTTGGTCCTTCTCAGCAGGCGTCAGAAGCGCAGGGGGTGGCCCCAGACGAGCCCCTCCGGTTTTGGGGCGTCAGTCGGCACGGCTGGAGCAGCACGGCTCAGCCTTGCGGGATGACAGTGACCGAGAGCTGGAGGTCACTTAACTAAAGGGCCGCGATTAGCCCTTGCCAGCCTCTCAGAGAGGTGTCCCCCCGCAAGTCACCCGGGGTGTACTTGCAGGAAAGCCCAGGGAAAGTCTTAAGTGCAACTGGGGTTGCGCTTGCTGGAGTGTCTGTCTGGCCCCGTGGCCAGAAGATTTGGTGGAGGGGAGCAGGACTGCTACTCTGCTTCGTAGACAGGAAAAACCCAGCGAAACCCAGCAAGGACACCTGCTGATGGTGGCTTTAGCAGCGGGACAGGGACAAGAGCGGGGCTGGAGACCAGCACTGCAGCTCCACCACCCAGCCTGATCCCCTTGATTGAAGGATGTGGCACATTTTGGCTCCACCTTAGCTGAAGGACTGTTTCTGAAGCAACTTTGTTTAACTTCTGTTTGTGCACACACTTGCACCATTTAAAAGCGTGTTATTTTGACATGGCTTTGGCTACGGATCAGTCTGTGGAGGAACAGACCCAGGCATGAACTGCCAGAGTCACCCTGCATGGGGAATTGCACTTGAATGGGAGTGGGACTTAGTAGGGGGGAAAATCCCAAATTGGAGCATAATACCCATTGCAGGGTGCTGGATCTCAGGTCATATTCCAGGCCAGTCATGAACCCCCATTTCTACAGACA